CAACATTTGCATTTTTTCAACAAGATCGTCACAATGATTTATAATTAACATTCGAAACCGCATTAGCACTTCAAAGTCAATTCATATCGGGGTTTTTTTTCTTGAAATTCTGTGCAAAATGCGGACCTTTTCTTTAGTATTTTCGCCCCTTGCTTTGATTATAGAATTGGAATTCGTTGGCGTTTTTACGAGCGCTTAAACCATTTTTGGCTGCAATGAAGAGCACATATTTTTAAAGTGAAATCGACGCATTTAGAATCCACAACCATCTATAATTATACATCAACATATCGCCGATTAGTACTGACGATTATGAGTACGAACACCAGACTTGAAATTGTTAGTCGTTTTTTTTCCTTCTACTTCTTCTTCTTATTCTCGGTTTTATTTTGGCATTTTTTTCAATATTTTGTGTTTTATAACCTTTTTTTTTGCGGTCGGGCTATGGCAATAATTCTCCTTGAATAGCGCGAATAAAGAAATCAAAACTACAACATCGTAAAAATCAGAATATTACCGAATGCGTGCATGAAAACTAATAAAATTTAAACACTAAACCCATTTTGAAATTCTGCGCATCGCGCATATCGCATTGCCCATCCTTCAGGAGATTCTTTTATGAGAGATGAAAAAAACCGAGAGCCAGAACAAACAAACAACCAACCGAGAAAAAAAAACGTACGGTGAACAAATGTGAAGCGCACGTTTTTATCCCGCTCCCTCTCGCTCTCTCACTCACGGTGCTCTTTCAAATAAATTATTTGTTCGAAATGGATTTGAACTCTTACCGATCTTGATTCGATGTATTTTCTACGAATAGACAAGCGTTTTCGTTGAGTGGAACACGAATTGTGCACCGCATATCAATCTGTTCGAATCGATTCCATCAATAATTTGCGTATATGTGTGTGCATTGGGGGAAAAAAATCAAACAATGGCGAAAAAAAGAAGCAGCAATTGCATTAATGCGCAATCTCTCTGGCCACTCGAATGCGAAAAGTGAATCCATATCGAAATTTAATCGCAAGCTTCAAATGGATTCTCAAAGCAACAACAGCAGCCACATACACGAAAAAAGAAAGAGGAAAATGGCACTGTAAAGAGTCTATTTTGCATTTGTTTCTGGTTTGCGATTTGGTTTTGAATTCAGATTCTCGAATTGTTCGCTTTTTCTTCTCTTTTTTCTTTGCATTTGCTACTATAAAAAGCATTCGTCTCTACAAATGTTGAATTGTAGTCGTTTTGGTGTGGTTGTATTGGTTGTTCTTTTTTTCTTCATTTTTCTCATGGCAGACGACGTGCTTTTTTATCGGCAACAAGAACATCGGCAAAAACCCGAGCGCAAAGAATGTGCTGAGCGATGGTATCCTTGTATTGCCATTGGATATTATATTTTGTGCTGAACACGGTAGTTATAAAGTAGCTTACACGGAGCGAAGAAAAAAACACGAAATCGGCGAAAAAATGGGCAGATAAAACGAAGCCAGAAACAAGCGCAAACGGCGAAAACTGTGGCGCGAACATCAGAAAGAGCCAAAAACCCATTCGAATAGATGAAGACGAAACAAGAGAAAAACCTATCATTGAATCTTTTTGATGATCTGCAATGCGTTTCGTTTCCATGAATCGGCTAACGCTCGGGTAAAAGTTCCTTTTCTTCTCTGTATTCTGTTTTCTCTCTTTCTCTCTCTCTCTCTCTCGTTCGCTCTCTTTCATTACTACGGTTTTTTCTGCCATTTCCAATTTCCATACAAATCGAACAAGAATTGATTGGGTGAATAGGTTTTGCTCCACGAAATTGCATTCATTCGCTCGCTGCTATGCAATATGTTGCACACAATGCGATTCGGAGTTGCAAAGGCTTTTTGCAAAGAATTCAAGAACGGAAGAGAAATACACACGAGAAAAAAGAGAGAGAAAAAATGAAGAAGAACGACGACGAGCGAGTACGCGCGGGCGATGGACTGCAGCGATCGACTTTATGCCAGCGCACACATTTTGCATGAACAGATCGTAAAATGAAATGGAAGCCAAACATATATTTCGCAAGATATTTATCATATTCATGAGCACATGCTACTTTTTCTCTCTCTCTCTCTCTCCGCTCTGTGCTGCCCTTTCTCGTTGCCTAATAAAACACAGTTTTCACTCGAAAATTGCGTCTGCAAACGTTTTTTTCTCCTTTGTTACAATCTCGGCCATATAATCATCGATCGTTTGGTAGCGAAAAAAAGAGAATAAAATGAATGCACATACCGAGTAATGGAACAAAAGTGCAAACAAATCGGAACCAAGTAACATTTTCGATGTATAATTTCGTAAAATTCGCCAGCCCAAACACAATGGCTAATGTGTGGCTTAACTTCTTGCTACAATCCTCCAGCTGTGTAATGAAAATGGTAGGAAAAAAGTCAAAAGTCGTCGATTCTATTCGACTTGCAAAACAAAGAGCCGATAGAGAACGGAAAAAAGAGGCTCATTTCATGGTTTCATGGAGCAAAGAATGCGTACAAATCATTGCAAGAATAGAGAATTTACGAATGGCCATTAAATTCAATGAATATTTTCGGAATTATTAAATTCGGTTGGATTCTATTATTCTCAATTTGATTCACATTGAACTTTGACAAAGCCCCCACTTTCAAAGCCTCAAATCGGTGTGAATCTTCTTTTTAAAGCTTCTTTTACTTCTGAATTGCGCAACCTCGTAACAGTAATCTTACAAATTCGTAGCAACCCATTCAAAAGAATCATTTTGATTAAATTATCGATTTAAAATCGAGAAGGCAAACGATAATAACACACAAAAGAACCAACTACACAGTGAATCGTTTGAAAAATTAATGAATGCGTACTGATTTCATTTGAAATTATTAACAATAATTTGTTTGAGAAATGAAGGGAAAAAAAACTACAGGCAGAAAGAAGTTGAGTTCGGCGAGCGCTGAGAGAAAAAAAGCACAACGAACAAATGAGTGTTGATGATTTTCCCACTGATGTTCAAGTGAATATTCAGAGTTTTGTGAATGCATACGCATCTCCACAGTAGCGGCCGCCGCCAACAACAGCAAGGTGAATGTGAATGAAGATATGGAAAAGAACCAATAATCTCGAAACTCTGCGAGTATTATTAATAATGATCACATGCGCTGGGCCGTCAAGAGCGAAGATGGAAAAACAACGATGCCACATAGTGGCATGAGACAGACAGACAGACAGACAATATCACACTCACACTCACACTCACACTCACACACACACACACCGGTAGCACTTGTTCAAGTAATACAACCTAATAGATTAGTGAGTGTCAAACAAAAGACAAAGCACTCTCTCAAACGCGCCGATAATCGTTTCGCTCTCATTCGATCATTCGTAATTGCTTGGGCTGCCATTGTCATCATACTATCTCGTCGTTTGTTGCCATGAAAAAAAAACATTTTTCTATTTACTCGTTGTGTGTTGCTTATTTCCATGAGCGCGCGCGCGTCCTAACAAAATCTAGTGGCCAAAGGAAGCGAGCAAAATTTCTTGCCGTCTTCTTCTTCGTCGTCGTCATCATCGTCATCGTGGCTGCTGCAAATTCCCACTTACGTTCGCAATTCACAAGCAAATAATAATAAATAATAATTTGTTTTATATAATTATCAACGAGAGCATCAACAATAGCACCCATTGTTCCAGGTATTCGAAGCGCTGAGAAAAATATTCAAAGCGATACAAAGGAAATCGATGTTCTGCTTCTGAACGAAGAAACAAGAGAGAAAAAAACCCGAAGATTGTTCACTAGCTCCAACAGCAGTTATGGAAAAGCATCATCCGAATCACCAAAACAACAAGAATTGCTCGCTTCAAAGCAATAATCATTCAAATTGATTATATTTAGAGTATCGTTAGGTCGATGTCGATTTTGGATTAATACACGGTTTGGCTTTGTCTACTCCGGGTGTTTTTTCTTCATCATCTTCAATCCGTTGACGTGAAATGATTTGGATATCGGGGAGACGAAGAGAAAGACACAGGTGTTTGCTGTGTTAATAATAACGATCACAAGTCATTTCCTTGTGTGAATTTTGTGCTTGCTCATGGCTCAATCAGAATTTGAAGAGAAAAAACTGCTCGAATTTAATACTCTATTTCTCTCTGTTCGGTTTAAGACAGTGAAAAATCATAAAATGTTCTACTCGACCCCAAAAAAGTTGGCCGACGTAAACGAGCGCAAAAAAAACAACACAACAACGAAGTGCATCCATATTTTTTATAGCGTTCGCGAATGTGCTTTACGAACGCATAAATCAATGGTTTGTATCTCTTTAAAATTATGATTTATTTCGCATTAATGTGCATATTAAAGCATTGAATTAGTTTCGCATTTTGTGGTTTTCGCGTTATGGCGCGCCGTTGTTGTAATCCACACCACACTTCACTCCATCAAAAATCCAAATGGCATGGCGTTTCGTGTGTTACTCCTTTTGGCGAATTGTAATTTATGCTTTTCGGAAATGTGTATATGAGCGCGCGTTCGTCTGGCTTGGCTCGGGCAGGCAAGTGAAAAAAAAAACAACCAGCAACACTACACTTGAACATTGCAGTTGCATGCACATTTCTGCATTTATGCGCGACGATTATAGTTTTGATGGCCACTGTTGATGTTGATATTATTTGACGGTTTTAAAGCGTTTCCCGTAAAATAATCTCGAGTTGTTGTTGTTGTTGTGTTTCGTTCGAACGAAACAAAAAAAACGAAATGGTTATGTCTTTATTACGATTTCGTGCCATAATTTACATCCGCCTCAGCGTTTAGTTGCTCGTTGCAAGTAAAACAATATGCAAACGATGTTAGATTTATGGACGAAAAATCATATTTCTTCTTATTTTTCTTTTTTCCCTGACTTAGTCTAGGTAGAAAGTTGTTATAATCCCATAGAAAAAAAATTGTTGTATTCGAATTCAATTTTCTCATGTGAGTTTTTCTTCTTATTTTCGTTTCACCACCGCAGGTTGTTCGGCCCAAAAAGATGTGCACGTTGTTTGGCCTCGATAAGTTCCTCAGAGCTCGTGATGCGTGCTCGCCACTTAGTATTTCACGTAAGATGTTTTTCATGTACCGTGTGCAATTCACCGTTAACGAAGGGCGATCAGTTTGGTATGCGTGATTCGTTAATCTATTGTCGATCACATTATGAAATTGCATTGGAATCACCGACAACGACATCCACACCGCTGGGCATGACATGCCAGTATTCACAGTACGGATCATCACCGAATGGTCACACAAGCCCAAGTAGCAGCGAAAATGCGGCCATGAAAATGGGCCCATCGAGCGGCTACTTCGGACCGCCAACACCGCATTCAATGACCGGTGGTTTACCACAAACGCCACGCCAAAAAGGACGTCCACGAAAACGAAAACCAAAAGACATCGAAGCGATGACCACAAATTTGGGTGAGTGTTTTTTTTTTCTTTTTCCTCTCTCGATCAATCTTATAAATTACACGAATTTTATGAACACACAATTTAATTTTGGTTTTTTGGTCGAAATATCGGCCGTTTTGAATTACTTCAAATGACAAAACATTTATCCATTGGTTGCATCTCAATCCTTATCGAAAATTATATCTCGTTTTCATTCAAATAAGCGATCGAAAATTGTCAATTGGATTCTTTCCTTTCCTTCTTTTGCTGGTTGACTGAAAGAAGAGAAGAATTCAAAATTAATTTTCACTCATTCATGTGGCTTGTTCTTGATGATGACTACTTTTTATGTGGGATCGTGTGAATGTAGCACATATTTCGATTGTGTCATTTTACGAATACGTCCCTTTTTTATTGCCAACAAGAATTTGAGGTGGACTTCGTTCAAAAAAAAAAAAAAACTCATTTCATTCAAAGAATTGACCAACGAGAAGGAGAAAAAAAAGAACAACAAACGAGTCCCCGAATAATCTTCATCCGGTGTGTACGAAAATGCGATTCATTTAAATTTACAAGTTGTTTACGAGATTCTTGGCTTCCAACACACCGAGATTTTTTCCATTTGAGACGAGTGGTAACATAACAAACATTTGACACGGTGGCAGAGAGTGCGACCGCGCACACGCACACGCACACAGGAGAAGCGATAAAAAGGAAACTTCGGTGCGCGCTGAGAAGTTATTAAGAAAATCCGCCAACTATTTGTATGTAACAAGGGAATCAAATGCGATTAGCGACTTAACGTCCTAAACGGTTTGCGTTGCCATCGTGCGCCTTTCTCTCTCTCTCCTCTCTTTCCCGTCTCTTTTTTCGTTGCATGCATATTCATCGTATGCGAATATTCGTATGCAAAATTTATTTAATTGCTACTCATTTATTTTGTGTGTGTGCGCGCAATTTTAAGTGCTGTTTTAAAGAAAGTGATGACAAAATCACCGAATCCAACGGCATATACGGGCAACAAAAGCAGAAAAATTATTTATAAAATAAAGTTTTAAGCACATCGCACTGAATTTGCTGTGCGCTTTGTTTTGATTGTCGTTTGGCCATCCGTCTGCCTGCCATGCTGGCTCTATATCTGCTTCCCTTTCGATCTGTGCTGCAGCTATGGCATTTAATTGCTTTCAAACTTGATGTTATCTTGTTAAAGTCAGCTTTATTTATACTTAATATTTCTTTTAATCTACAAATTCGGTTACATTCTTGCATATTCACCAAACTCCTTTGAATAGTCGAATTACATTGAATAAACATAATTAATTTGTTGCTAAAAAGCGACGACCACGACTGTCGAATTATAGAGATTGACCATGGGAAAAAAAGAGGCAGCAACACACAGCCAACAAAATTAATGCATTGATGTCACAAGTCCACATTCAGTTATCTACTTGTTCATTCAATGGATAACCTCTTCTTCCTTTTGATTCTTTCTTCGTCTCTTCGTTGGGTGTGAGTGTTTTGTGAGATTTTGCAGTCATTTCCCTTATCGCTTCCTCTCGCACAGGAACGGTTTTTAATTTTAACGTCGTACACGGTTTGTGTGTGCTATCATTTTGGAGAGGCAAGAAGTATCAATTTAGCCATATTATTTAATGCTCAGGTCAAGCAGCAATGAGTTTTATTAGAGTAGTTTCGATTAACCTGAATTTGATATTGATTTTGCTAATATGCACCGTAAATGATGCATTCGGTACGTGTTTAAAATGAATGTTTTGTACAGTAAATTTGTTTCAATTGGTAGTGTTGTTACTTCACTCGATTCGGTGACGACGACAACGACTTCGTGAGATCGACAAAGGACCGTTTTGGTTTTTTTTCCTCAACATCTGATGCAATCGGAAAACCGTCACTTCCCACGGTGCACAATCGAATTGTGAATACCAAAGCGAAAGAGTGTTTTTCGAATGCTGTCGATCACAATGATCGGCTTTATGATTTTCGACAACGGCAAAGAGTGAGAGAGAAAAGTGAGCATCAAAAGGTACACTAGCCGTGAGTGGTATTGTACACAGACAACGAAAGACTTTATGCTCATCTTTTGAAGTAATAAAGCATGTGGCTGTGAAATTCTAACAAAACAAAAATACTGAGAAATAGAGACCATGCCATAAAAATCCGCACAATAATAAAAATCTCGCATCTTTTTTAATCGTAAAAAAAGCAAAAATAAAAGAAGAAGAACCAAATTGAAGAACTCAAAGAGTAAAATAACAGTATTTACAGCCTGTAATTTAAAGTTCGAAACTTTGAATAAAAAAAGAGAGAGGAAAAAAGAACAAGTGAATGGAAGGACAATCCTTTGAACACCGACTCATCGTTCGGATGAAAATAAATATTTAGCCGTATGAATTCGATGCGTATGTGTGAGTGTGTATTTTTCGTTTCATACTCTGTTACAACACCATCATCATTTCGAGTGGTGCTGTGATAGACAATGATGTGCCACTCTTGTGAAGTGAAGGAAAACATACACACACTGGATTAAAAGGATATATTCATTTTATTATCAAATTGCTTTGTCGAAGAGAAAATAAAAGGAGAAGAATCTCGAACGGTCAGGGCAATCGAAAATATTGCTTGTTTTTCCACCTTCGAAGAAGTGCATTCACACTCACTACCTGCGTCAAAAGATGAAGAAAAAAAAGACAGGCGCCTACCGGTCACTTGTTTTTTTCTGCATTTTCCATTTGTACCATTTTTATTTTCGTAAAAACATATTTTTCATACGAATGAATCCCAAAAGGGAGAAGTCGTTAAATCGACACATTCTGACCGAAGACAAAACATTTCAATTAATTTGTGTGTATATCTATTTTTAAAATGTCTCTGAATCGAATTGAGTCTTTATCTTCCGTTTTTTCCTCTTTTTCTTCCCTTCTTCTCCGTGCGTGTCTCGATTAGATTTGAACTCGGAGTATTTGGAGTTGGGTTTTGGACGCGGTGGTCCATTGAGTGCGGCATCACGAGCTAAACGGATGCGAACCTCATTCAAACATCATCAATTACGAACCATGAAATCGTACTTTGCAATCAATCACAATCCCGATGCAAAAGATCTGAAACAATTGTCACAGAAGACTGGATTGCCTAAAAGAGTTTTACAAGTGAGTATATACACTCTTCCGTCTCATTTGCCTTTTACCTTGAATGAAAACAACTGCCAGATTAACACTCGACACCAACAATTGTTATATAGCAATCGAAATGACGAGTGTCTCCCGATATTTGAACTGTGATTTAAATTGAAATCTCTTTTTTCTTTTTTTTCTTTCTCTTGTGCCTTCTCCTCTCATCGTTTTATTTGCTGATCGCGCGAATAAAATAGGTTTGGTTCCAAAATGCAAGGTAAGCGAACTTTTTTTCTCAATAATTTGGAATAATATTAAGCCAATTTTTTCGAAAAACATTACTATTCAATTAAGAACTTTTTTTTTCAAGCATTTTGAAATGCACATTGAGTTCATTTGAACAGTCAGGAAGCAAAAACTGTATAGTACTTTAAGGTGTTGCTCTTTTTTCCGTTTGTTTTTAATCAATTCTTTCACACAAAACGTTTGCAGGGCGAAATGGCGGCGCATGATGATGAAACAAGATGGAAAAGGTAGTGATAAAGGTGACGGTTCACTAGATTTAGATAGCTACAGTCATAGCCCAACATCGTTTATAATGGGGGTCGGACCACCCAGCCCTAATTCAATTGATTAACAGTTGAATTTAAGGCAATGCTTAATCGGATTGATCTCATTGCACGAACGAATTCTATAGCTACAATCAGCTGATGTGTGCCGTTTGTATGCACTCGCAAAATATAAGTAAATCACAACACTAAACTACCATAAACAAAGTACATCAAACAGAAGAAGAATAAGAAAAAGAAAAGAAGCCAACACAAACACACAACCAAATACATATATACACGAGAGACCACAACAACAACAACAATAACAACAATAACATCACATGGGAAGCAAATCAAGCAGGATGGAGTTTATTTAGGACAAATGACAAATAAGTATGAATGAAACACGGCATGCAAAATAAACATAAACATAAACTAAACCGATCAGATCATGCAACGATTTAAAGTATTTCAAGTACCCTAGTTCAGTTTGGAACGTGTATCGCACATTTTGTGCGATTTCAAAATAAATGAGAATTGTTTTTTTTCTCGTAATTTTCTTTCAATTTGGTCGTTTTGGCTAGATAGTTTTTATTTTTATTGGAAGGGCACTATTCGCACTACACTAGAGTTATTCAACATTTATTCAAACAAAAACGTAAAAGAAACAAGAATCTAGCGAAAGCAGGCTATTTATTTTTCCAAATGTCAATCCGTCGAGAAGACGCAAAAAAAAAAAATTTTGTTTTAAGGATAATTCAGGGATATCATTTTTCAAATCATCGTATGGCCCTCTTTTTACACTTGTATCAAATGCACAGCGTTGAAATTGTTGCCACACAGCCACATCCTTATCATTAGAAAAAAATTTAGTTTCGCCACATTGAATCGCACGGGTGAACTGAATTCGAAATGTATTCCTGTGAAATTCAGAGACCAAACCTATATTCTATATTTCGATCATCATACTACTTAAAAAAATATCGCACAACAATTGCGCACTCTAACTCGCACCAGCAACAAAAACACACACACAATATAGAATCGACAATGGACGAAAAATCAGTGAAAGTTTTTCTTTTGTTTTAAATTGTACGTTTAATTTGTAATTTATTTTAAATCCTATTTCCTTCTCCACCCTTCCTCCTCCACCCAAAAAAAAAATTAAGCACACAACGGAGAAAATGGAACAGAGAGATGAATAGAGAGATGCATGATTGTATTTTGAAGTCGATCCGTGTTCGATTCTTCACACATCTTAAGCTAAACAAAATCTTTCTAAACTAACTTAATTTTACTAAAAAAAATAGATTATTTATATGTGTATAAATTTAAAGAAAATAAACGAAAAAAAAACGCAGTAACAAAAAACATTTATTAAAACAATCCGTAGCATGTATTCGCAAGAGATCAAATCAAAGGATGATTGGTGAAGTTAATTCATGTAATTCACAATTGGTTTTTATATAGATTACCTAAGGCACGTATAGCATTAGACATTTTTGGAGATAGAAAAGGATTTTTCTATGTCTTGTGTTTCTCTTTAAAAAAAAAACTTCTATACAATTCTTACAACAACAATAAAAAAAACTTATAATAATTATAGACAAAAATAAAAAAAAATACGGTGAAGTGCGTATGTTTTAAGTGAACCCAAAAAGACGATAGAGTTAAGCAAATGATGATTATTGAAAAGAAAAATCAACAATTGTAAAATATGAAACAGTGGAAACAGACCGAATTAGCCAAGATGCAGAGAAAAATAAAAACTGAATGTGTATTTAAAAAGTAAACAGATGGCATTATTCGTTTTGTCTTTCTTTTTTCTTGCCGTTTTGTTCTTTCAATCAATTCTCGAATTCAAATTTCCAAAGAGCGCACTCGCACGAATTCCAATCGATCAATTAAAGAAATATATGTAAGTTATTAGCGATGAATATGCTACTTAGAAGCGGAAATTCCAACTGTGAAACACGCGAAATGCTGATAATAATCTTTGCACGGGGCGAATAAACAAACTAATAATAATCATTGTGAATGAATAAAATACAGCGATGGATTCACACGGAGAGAGAGAGAGAGAGAGAGATATCCATATTCACAAAGCCATTCATGATTGCATGCATAAAACTATTCGGATTCATATGCACTCGTAATAAATCGACTCTTTAATAGTTGCCATAAAAAAAAGTTGTACAGTCGAAAAAGCAAACGGCAATCGATCGCATTGACGGAAGATCCAAATGCCCGAAGAATCGTCAAACGCCACAGAAAGACACACACCAAAGACACACACACACACACACACACACACACTGGGGAGGGAATATAAGTGTATTACGCGTGTGGATTGCAATAAACTCAAATTGCTTCTTAAATTAAAGTCTAACCGAAGGAAAAAAATCAAGGTAAGAAAAGAAGAGACACAAAAAATGGGATGAACATACTATCAAGTAGCTTTCGCTAGTGCAATACTCATAAAAAATAGCGCACGCTGGCCACTACGTTCGGTTCAATGTGTGAACATTTATTCCGTACATATCGCATAATTAAAATGAATTGCCCACTCTTTGTTCGGCACGGTTTAAACCTTAGAATTTTCCATTTGTTACTTTTCATAAACTACTAATGTAATCATCGGTATCATTACATATTTATGGGAATCGTTGAATATATTTTTGAATTTTACATTTGGAAAAATACACACACACACATATATACATAGAGGAAGAGAGGGAGAGGGAGAGAGACATAGTGCCGTTTCATGTACAGCTCGTGCTTATTCGGTTTTCGTTCAATTGCTGTGATTTTCATTGAGACAGCATTTATTAAAAACCATAAATATTTTTAATCCGATTGTCGAAGAAAATAAGTAGAAGAGAAAAAAAAACAAATAATCCCCATTGAGTTGAATGTTATTGCGTTTGGATTTTGTTTGCAATGTCTTAAAATATATGTCGTATGCCCACCGAATAATAATGTTGCATAATTATCATCATCGATTTGTTAATTTGTTTGGCAATTAAACTAATAGAAGAACTAATTTCAAGCAAAACTGTTTGCGATTGCCGAATGGAGAATAGAGAGAGCGAGTGAAAACGCGATGAAAAATTTCTCCGCTATTTTTGAATGCAAGCTATTCAAAATGATGTGTAAGAAATTCACGGTAAAAATATACTCAACACGCCCGCCACTCGCATTCGGTACGGTAAATTGAGAACTTCGTCTTGGCAAATAAATCCAAAGAGCGCAGTTATTAAAATAGGTCTCGGTCTCCGTTTCACCAAGTTGCAACTGTTTTTGATCAAGGCACGTGCAGTTTTTGAACATTTTCGATTTTTTTTCTCTACTTCTTTGTCTTCTCCTACATCTTCTATGCAGCATTTTTTTTCCTTCGTTCAATATCAATACAATAATTTTTGCATGTGGCAATTGACGATTTATTTTGATCGCTTTCAATGTGCCACACACATACCACACAGTTGTCATTACCGGCTGCACCTTTTGAACCGCATAAATATTGAAGATTTTTGGTTTCACATTTTCGTTTGCTTGAGCGAGAATGTGACGCCTGAATTGATCTCGCTCAAAGGCAAATGACATAGGAGATAGTGTCATGGTTCACATTGACAAACCGCGCAATCAATATATTGAACGTGCACCCAGAGAAAGAGAGAGAGAGAGAGAGACTGACGGAGCGGAAATGTTTGGAACGCCCATTAAAAATCAATGCGGTTCACTTTCACACAAAATATATGCTGTCATAAATTAAGTGGCAAAAGAACGTCCAGTAACGAGAGTGTATGATGGAATACAACAGTCTTCACACCATCCAATTGCATTCCGATCGAACAACGCTAAATATATTGCCATTTGTCATTTTCGTAAAAGTCGTTAAACATTACTTACTTTTTTTTCTGTACAAAGTACAATGGCCATTTGGAGAAAATGTAGCAGTTTTCCAGGGAAAAAAAAGAAGAAAGAAGAAAAAGGCCGATTTTTTTTTCTTTCATTCTCGTGTGGTGTCGCATGTTGGGACAGCATGTTTCAAAATGATCGCTGCATTAAACGAAATGAAATTCGAGACCAGCGTTTTCGGTATACGATGAAAGAAAAATGCATGGATAACAAGAGAGACGGCGCTTCGATGGCACACACATACACAAATTCCAAACCGCAAATGAAAAGAAAGAGAGAGTGAGAGAGAAAGAATAGAGAGCCAAATCCAAGATGAAATTAACGATACTCACAGGGACACACTGATTATCGAATACAGTATGTGAACCGAACCGTTTTTATCGCTTTCCATATCCTCATCTCTTTGGCAAACGGCCGAGTATGAAGAGAGCGAAAGGGAGACTGCATAGAAATTTGAATATTCACAAACCGCAGTAGCACATACATGACACGAAAATACACACACACACACACACACACACCCGGCGCTTTCTTTTGAATCTCATATTTCCCGTTACGCATATCAGCATCGCGCGCACATTTTCATTTTTCTGAAGAAAAAAAGAAGAAAAATGAAAATATGACTAGTAATTTCTAATTGTGTCACATTCTACATTCATTTCGCTTCGAACATGATCGATTGAAGAAAGCGAACGCTAGCTAAATTATGAGCAATAAGTATGAAAATTGGTGTAGATACTTCGAAATGATGTAATTTATGTCGTATTTTTATGAGTTGGTTTTTTTTTTAAATGTGTTTCTTTCGCATTTTTCTTTCACTCGATTGCTCCTTCTGTCTCCGTCGAAGTCATCTTTCACAATGAATCAGTTGTGGGTTTAAATTTCTCTGGACCAGTGAAAAAGGGGATGGAACAAGTCACCGCAACATTTTCTAAAGAATAGCCGCAATAAATTGTATCGTCCTCGCGGCAACGCACAAAGCAATGACTTCTTGAAATCAACGCACTTAATCAAAATGTTGCTACTTTTTTTCTCGAAGGATTTATTTTTTTTTCATCTAGTTATTATTTATTGTGGCCTTTTTTTCCATCGTGTACAAAATGTCTTATTTTTTCATCGGTTTATTTCAATCATATAACAGAAGGACAAAAAACGGCATTTAAGTAATAGCTATCATTTTGCGGTTGTCGTTTATTAGTTGTGTGCTGATCACAAGCGATGTCACTCTTAAATGAGGCATAGAAAATGATTGTCGAATTAGTGGCATTTCGTCCAACATATCATTTAAAATGATGAGGCGATTCCGCGCTTTCACGTTCAACGAGAGCTAATTTCATCAGAGCGAGTGTATGTGGTGATGAGGCAGTGAACGCATTTGCCATCGCATTACATTCAATGGTAATGCAAAAATTATGGTCCCAATGGACCCAATTTGTTGGCTTTAACATCACATATTAGGGCTTTTTTGTTGTTGTTTTTTTTTATTACTCTGTTTGGTGAGTTGGCGCTGTGTGGAGAGTGTGGAGCGTGTGTCGTCTAAAATTACAATTCACACACTCAATATTATTATGACTTGTGTGCAGCGCACTCAGTATCAAATCTATTCCAGACATAGAGAGAAGTGTGCGATTCCATTTGGTTGCCGCACATTGCTAAATGTAGCAATCAATTTCTTCGTGTTGTTGCTCGCTTGCTCTCTTTTGTTTCTATTAATATAAATGGTTGTCATCAATTCGCTTCGAGACACACGAGTTGCATTTGAGCGGTTTTTTGATATGATATATGAGCAAAAGTGTCAGCATTTGTCGCAAAAATTGTTACAATTTATAAGTGACATCTGAATGTGGAGGTCTTCTTCTGATGATTGCCGTCTTTCGGACCAAGTTTTTTGCCATCGCTGAGTGAAAGGGAAAAAACAAACAAACTAACTAAAAAAAAGCGCCATAGAAATCGAATAGGTAAATAAAATTAAATTGAAATGATTGCTTGACATGCGCAACTGATGTCTTAATGATTGAAATGAACTGTTCAACTTTATTCTTTTGCTCGCTCATTGTTTTTTCGCGTACATTTTTCACTGTGTCCCTCAAATTAAGATGCGTACGGAATCTATGCTAATAGAGGATAAATGGCTAAATACAAATGTCGGTGAGCTTGACGTGCGATAAATGGAACACGACAAAAACGTAATGGATGAAAAATCAAATGTAACGTTAAGTTGC